TTTTTTTTTTTTTTTTTGAGACAGAGTTTTGCTCTTGTTGCCAGGCTGGAGTGCAACGGTGCAATCTTGGCTCACTGCAATCTCCACCTCCCGGGTTCAAGTGATTCTGCTGCCTCAGTCTCCCAAGTAGCTGGGATTACAGGCATGCGCCACCATGACCAGCTAATTTTGTATTTTTAGTGCAGATGGGGTTTCTCCATGTTGGTCAGGCTGGTCTTGAACTCCCCACCTCAGGGGATCCGCCTGCCTTGTCCTCCCAAAGTGCTGGGATTATAGGCGTGAGCCACCGTGCCTGGCCAAAATTTCTCTTTTTCTTTAGGTCTTTTGTCCATCTATTATATGGGTATGTATGTGTATGTTAGGAATCTAATTTTATTTTATTTTTTTATGAATAGCCAATTGCCCAGCAATGCTTTAAAATTCATATAATATCAAATTCACATTTCAGATGGCTAAGCCATTTTAAAGTGTGCAATTCAGTGGCATTCAGAACATTCACGATGTTGTGTAAGCATCACCACGATCTAGCCCAGAGAGCTATACATTACCTCGAAAGGAAACTCTGTACCCACGAAGCAGCCTCTCCTCATTCCCTTCCTCCTAGCCCCTGGCAATCACTTTTCTGCTTTCTGTCTATCAGTTTTAGCTACTGGATATTTTACATAAATGAAATTCTACAATATGTGGTCTTTTGTGCCTGGCTTCTTTCGTTTAGCACAATGTTTTTAAGGTTCATCTATGTTGAGGTACAAATCAGTACTTCATTCCTTTTGATGCTAAGTAATTTTCCACTGTATAAATGTACAACAATCTGGCCGGACGCAGTGGCTCATGCCTGTAATCCCAGCAATTTGGGAGGCCGAGGCGGGCACATCACCTGAGGTCAGGAGTTTGAGACCAGCCTGGCCAACATGGAGAAATCCCATCTCTACTAAAAATACAAAATTAGCCAAGCATGGTGGTGCATGCCTGTAATCCCAGCTATTCGCAAGGCTGAGGCAGGAGAATCACCTGAACCCGGGAAATGGAGGTTGCGGTGAGCTGAGATTGCGCCATTGCACTCCAGCCTGGGCGACAAAAGCAACACTTCATTTCAAAAAAATAATAGTAATATATTTAAACAAAACATATTTGGTTTATCTTTCTTTTTTTTTTTTTTTTTTTTTGAGACAGAGCCTCACTCCCTCACCCAGGCTGGAGTGCAGCGGCACGATCTCGGCTCACTGCAACCTCCGCGTACCAGATTCAAGTGATTCTTGTGCCTGGGCCTCCTGAGTAGCTGTAATTACAGGCACTCGCCACCACGCCTGGCTAATTTTTGTTATTTTTAATACAGACAGGGTTTCACCATGTTGACCAGGCTGGTCTTGAACTCCTGGCTTCAAGGGATCTCTCTGGCTGGGCCTCCCAAAGTGCTGGGATTACAGGCTTGAGCCACCACGCCCGGCCTGTTTATCATTCTTTAGTTGATAGACATTTGGGTTGTTTCCATTTGTCGGCTATGGTGGATAGTGATGCCATGAACTTTCCCGTTTTAGCTTTTGTTTGCACACTTTCTTTCAATTCTTTGAGATCTGGCAGCATTTTTTGAAGAGTTTGCTTTTTCTCCCACTGATCTGGTGTTCCTCTGTCACACACAGGTGTGGGTCTCTTACTAGGCTCCTTATTCTGACCCATTGGTCTAAGAACCCATCCTGGCACCAACACTACACTTCCTTGATTGTTATAGCCTCCTGGTACATCTTGACATCTGGTTAAATTTGGCCCTTTGCTCTTTCTATGAATTTTAGGAGCAGCCATCAAGTTCCAGAAAAACTCCATTGGGGTTTGTTTGTAGTTGATTTGAGAATTGCCATATTTTTTTGTTTGTTTTGAAATATTTTTTGCTTTTTTAAAAAAAAATTGAGATGGGGGTCTTACTCTGTTTTCCCCAGGCTGATCTCAAACTCCTGGCCTCAAGGGATCCTCCCACTTGACCCTCCCAAAGTGTTGGGATTACAGGCATGAGCCACCACACCTGGAGAATTGTGTATTGGCGATGTTGACACTTTCCGGCACTTTCAGGAGTCCTGACCCTGTCTCCTCAGTACTTTTGCATGTGACTCCCTTGAAAGTCCCTCCCTCTTCTCTGCCCTAGTCAACTCCCTCTTCTGGTCTTGTTTTTCCCATCTCTGCACCACTATCTTCCTCCTACTTGGCTGCAAACTCCTCTAGGCTATGGCTGGTCTAACTTGTTTACCTTGGTGTTCTTAGCAAGTAGGACAGATAATTGGGCCCTATAAATATAAATATTTCTTGGCAAGAATATGGGAGATACAAGAGGAAGGTCTTCTGGTCCTGGGGCATTTGACCATATCCAGAGGAACGTCAAACAAAATTACTTAATTTCCTTTTGCCTCTACTTTCTCCCCTGGGAAAGGGCGATGTGATTAATGTCCCCTCCCAAGGTGGGGTGAAGATTAAATAAGTTTGTGTAACATGTAAAGCACTTGGAGCAAAGTCTGTCTGGTGGTCAGAGCTACCTAACAGGTTCCGTGACCTACCATTACTCTTCGAGAATCTTTTGGCCTCATATTTCTGGGATACTCTGGTGAGCTCTTTCCTTAAGTCATTTAATTTTGATTTTACTTCTCATAAGAACTAGTTATCTTACCCCCATTTTGCATGTGAGACAAATGAGGGGAAGAATGAGTTATCTAAGGACTTAAACCTAGAACTCTTGATCCCAAACCCAAGGAGGCGTAATCTTTAAGGTGTTTTCCAGCTCAGACATTCAGTCAGCAGAATTGCTAGTTTGACTTTCAGAACCATATGACTCTCAAAAGGGGGGAAAAAATCTAATAGGCCCACAAGGTCGACTTACATTACTTTTATTTTATTGGAACAGCTGTAAACCTAAAATTAAGCGTGAACTTCTCATGCTCATAGATCTAGAAACCAACCACAAAACCAAAACAAATCTTCAAAGTAAATACCACAAAACCAATTTTAAAAATTCAAAGTAACAACACTAAATCAAATGACTGGTTAAACTGCTGACGTTGGCTGTAATGGTAACAGAGTAAAGGCTTTGGGTGTTTTGTTTCCCGTGTCACGTCTTTGGATTTTGACCATGATGGGTCATCATTTGTGCCATTGTCATATTCACTATCATTGTTTTATTACAAAAAAAAGGGGGGGGAGAAGTTCATAATCCAGTTTGATGGGCCGAGCAATTTAAACAATGCATTCTCAAATGCAATAACGAAAAGTGGAAAATAATACACTTAGTATAACGTCACTCATTGTATATTTGCTGTGATGCTCACAACTAATGAACTATTGCAAGTGTGTTCACAAAAGACAATAATGGCCCAATTTATCCTCTAGCAAAGGGCCCATTGTGCTGGCTGTCCTGGAGTTCCTCATTCCTGAGCTGTTGTGTGGGGCTGATGACTCCATCCTCCCACCACTTTACTCCACTGAACCCAACCGGAAACTCCATTCCCCCAAATTCCCTGACATAACCTCGCCTATCAGGCTGCTGTCCCATTCTCATTAGTAAGAGACAATTAAAATTATACATGATTCCCATGCTCTGTACTATTTCATGATGTCAAATTACAGTTCCAATGTATTCAATTATTTAAAAAGCTAATTTCTTTTTTGTCATTGTTTGTTTGTTGTAGTTGTTGTTTTGAGACGGAGGCTCACTCTGTCCCCAGGTTGGAGTGCAGTGGCCCAGGCTGGAGTGCAGTGGTGCAATCTCAGCTCACTGCCACCTCCGCCTCCTGAGTTCAAGGGATTCTCAGTCTTTCAGAGTAGCTGGGATTACAGGTGCACGCCACCACACCCAGGGAATTTTTGTATATTTTGTAGAGACGGGGTTTCGCCACGTTGCCCAATCTGGTCTGGAACTCCTGAGCTCAAGCAATCAGCCTACCTCGGCCTCCCAAAGTGCTGGGATTACAGGAGTGAGCCACCCTGCCCGGCCTAATTATTTAAGAAGCGAATTTCTTAGTCTAAGAAAATGACATTCAATGGCAAATGGCAAAATGAAGTTCTGACTTTTCCACCTGTAAAGTAGATTGATATGAGCAGTAGTGAGATGACCTTGTAGCTATCAGTATAAAACAAGAGAACTGAGGGCAGCCAGTTGTGGCCACAGCAACTCTCTCAGAGTGAATCGCTGCCACACTGGGCACAGAAGCGCACACTCTGATATCGAATGATTTGGATTCCTTTCTACATAATTCTAGTAAACAGTTACTCCACAGCCTAGGGCCCCGTTTGAGACACTCCGGGCTCGAAGATCATGAAGTCAGTGCGCAAACGCGGGCAGACCCTGCACCAGGTGCCCAACGCCCAGCCCTCACTTCCCGAGCTCAGGACTACTGCAAGAGCGACTCCAGCCCCCGGCCTGCCGCTGTCTACATTCGCGCTCTTCCTTCCTCGGGAAACAAACCGTGGATCAGATCTCCCAGGCTCTGGGTTCCCCAGAGTTTGGCGGTGCGCCAGGGCACCGCGGCCCCTCCCTGCAGCACAGGGTGACAGACCCCACTCTATCCTCCAGCGCCCCGGGTTCCCGCTCCATCACTGACACCACCACCACCACCCCGTGCAGGCCCAAGAAGGCAAAAGAGGCCCAGTCACTCTCACCGGGGATTTTATTTTCTTTTTTTGCTGGTTTCAGGCTTTTTTCTGCCTGAGTGAAAATGAAACAAACACACCCGCGCCCCCGGCACACACACACACTCATTCATGCATTCACGCGGCGGCCTCCCAGCTGTCTGTGTCCAGGGCGGGGACTGGCTTGGCACCGACCGCTGCCGGCCGGCCGCTGTCAGCGCTCGCCGGTCCCTCGCGCCCCTGCCCGCTGCGCTCTGCCCAGAGCGGACGCCCAGCCGGCCGGCCCACGGGCAGGAGTACGGGCGCACGCTCTGGCGGAGGCAGCGAGGTAGCTGAACCCAGCGCGGCGGGCCCCGCGGTGGCCGGGAGCTAGGCGCGGTCCTGCTCAGCCCGCTCGCTGCGCGCCGGTCCTGGGTGCCAGGGTTCTGCGGATCAGGTGGGTCCCGCAGGGCGCCGCCCAGGTCCCCGGAGGCCACGAGCAGGGCACGGACCGGAGGGCTCCACGCTTGGGCTAGGGTGGTGAGGGGAGTGGGGGCGGGCCGCTGCTCCGGCCCTGCCCAGTTTCTGCCCTGCCTGTGTCCCTGCTTTTGTTCTTGTCGCTACCTCGGTGCCAAATCGGACCCAGTTTCTGTCGCTCTGTCCCCATCCTGTGCCCGTCCCTCCCTCTGTCCCGCCTACCGAGACTGGAGCCTGAGGGGCTGCAGGCTGAGGTTCCCCCACGAGTCCGCGGGGTGGGGGTGGGGAAGAGAGGGGAGACGCAGGGGACACAGGATGCGACCAAGTAAGTCGCAGTGAGTGAGGGGTCTGTCCTTGCCTGTGGGACAAGACAGAGGAATGACTCTCGCCCAGGACAAGATAGGAAAGGGGCACCTCTGGGAAGGGGAATCTGGGAGTGGGGGGATAAAGTGAGGGTCGCAGGAACCCCAATGAGCAGGGGAATAGAGAGGGAGATGTCAGAGTTTCGGAGAGCCGAGGACTCATCCAGACCCCCAGCATGGGGAAAGTTTCCGACACTAACTTTGGCAGCCGGGGTGCCTGCTGCACTGGAGCGATGGGAGGAGGGAGGTTCCTCCATCTCTTCAAACCACCTCGCTCCTACTCCAAAGGGGCACCACCCCGCGTTTGTAAATGGCAGGAAAACAGCTAAACACAATGATTGCACAAACTCTCGAAGAGCATCCAAAAAATAGTAAAAAGAAGAAGAAGAAAAAAAAATGTCAGCGCGCAAAGAGCCAGAGAAACAGAGGGATTTGAGATTCCTCGATCTTCCAGCTGTGGCAGCCTGGAGGGAGAGGGAGGCGCCGCGGGTGTGAGGGCCCTCCTCACCACAGGTAGGAACCGAGACCCGAGGCAGCTGTTTTGAGGCTTTGCTCCTCGTTTGCACTCCTTCGGTCTCGCTGCCTCCTTCCTTTACCTGGAAACAGACGTGTCTCAGGAGGCAGGAGATGTAGGGTGGAGCCTGCATCCAGTAAGGAGCCACCTTCCCAGACAGAGCCTCAGTTTCCACGATTGTGAAATAAGGATGCTGGTGCAGACCTTCCTTCCAGTCTCTGAGTAAGGAAATGCAAAGTGCATGGTGAAGGAGGGCTCTGGGGGTGGGGGGTGTGGAGGACAGGGTTATTCTGCTGCATTTCTGTGCTTCTTTGACTACACCAGGCACTTTCTACTCTTTCGGAGTTAGTTCTGGGTGAATTTTGCCTCCTCTACCAGATAGGGGGCAGCATGCAGATCTAAGTTATATCCTTTACATGTAACTGGTGTTCAATGACTGAATAAAGCAGAGCTGAACGAGTCCCTAAGGATTGCCAGTCCAGGAGATTTCAACTCTGTCTTGTGAGGCCGGACATCCTGCCTCAAGGGCCACCGTGATGGGGGAGGGGAACCTAGAGGACAGGGCTCTGGCCCCTTCCCTATCTTATTTCAGACAGAACCAGTTCCGTACTTCCTTATCTCCTCTATGTATTGGGAAACTCCTGAGAACGTTTTTGATGTCAGATTGCCCAGATCCAATCACCAGGGGACCTCCTGAGACTGGGAACCTGCTCATTCAACACTGCGGGCCTCCTAGAACAGGCCCACGTTGGGGTGGTGTAGGTGGTCCAGCCAGATAGCAACAATGTCATCCTCCTACACTGTTTGAGAAAGGTCTTGGGGCATGGAGTCCTGGCTTTGGCTGTAAAGTTCAGAAACTCAAATGGGCCACTCATCAGGCTCTGTCACATTTCCTGTTTGTGAGCCTGGACTTAAGTGGAGTTTTAGGTGAAGGGCAAGGGGCTTGGAAGCAGAGCCTTACTTACTGGAATTACAATTATCAGAGGGGAAGAGCCTAGAAGATTCCACCTAAACCTTTGTTTTGTGGGTGCGGAAACCAAGGCCTAGAGAATGAACGCCTATCCTAGTTCATGGCGTGTGCAGGAATCACAAATGGGTTTTTGGTGGTGGTGGTGTTGTTTTGAGATTATGTAATCTTAGAATGGGTGACCTAGCAGAAACCTAAGCTGTTGCCCAGTCCACTTCCCCACGTTCCATAGATGTGATCTGAGGAAGTGGGTGGATATGGGTGCTGAGGGGAGCGGACCATCCCCCCTTCCATGCTTCTTGAGCCTCTGTATCTTCATGTGTAAAATAAAGCCCAGGGCCCTGCTCTGCTGATCCCATACAGACATCCATAAAAGGTGTTTGTGTGTGCTAATCAGTGTTGGGGGCTAGCACTGAGCGGGAGTGGGCTGCTGGGCTCTCTCCCATTTCTCTCCAGAGCCCAGCCTGAGTCCCAGGTTTGGGAAACCTTGTCTCCACCCCTCTGCTTTCCTATACACCACCATCCACCACTCAGCACTGGCTACATTTTAGCAGTTCCCTCTACCCCATCAACTCACGAAGACATGTATTTCAAAGGAATATAATGCTAGACACTTTACACGTGACAACACTTAATCTTCACAACAACCTTACAAAATCCTGTTCGTTCACTGGTTAGGACGGGATACTGAAGTTCTGAAGCAGGCTGCCTGAGGACTCTGTCACATAGCCAGTGGGGTAGGGGACTCTGGGGGGATTGTCCCAGCTCCTCACGGTCTTCCTGGAGGCTCCATTCTGTCTGCCTGCCTTGTAGTCAGCATTGAGCAGAGGGCAGGGGAGCCAGGGAAGGTGGGCCCATGTGGCCTGGGACCAAGGACACTCTGGCAGGCAGACCCGCTGGTTGCCCTTCAAACTCGTATTCTTTTAATATTTGTTCAGCATTTATCTGGGGTGGGAAAATGGATTTGCAATGAATAAAATCATGAGCCTCTTCTGGATTCCAAATTCCATTCTACACCGGACTATTTTCCGGAAGCAGAAGGAACAGAAATTCACAGCCAGAGTCACTTTCCCAGGGGCAGTAAGTTAATGTCCTGGAGAAACACTGGCTGTTCCTTGCTTTTCTGTAGCTCTGTTTCTCTTCAGTTTGTGTTTGAGCTTTTCCAAGCCAGACGGCTTTTGGGGAGGCTCATTAGAAGGTTTATTTTGGTTCCGGTTTTGTTTTAAATTGCCTTAAATATAGAAAAGAACAGCTAGTCTTAGAGAGAAGGACCACTCTGCGTGTCATTTATTTTGACTGAGCAGCTTGGTGTGTACTTCAGTTGGCATCCTTGAACTTGGCTCCCTGTGTTATATAAGGAAGGTATCACTCGCATTTATATAATATCAACAATGCATTTTTTTCAGTGTCAGAGAACCAGCAGATTTATTTACTTAAATAACTTTCTGTCTGATTACAAAAGTAATATGTTCTCATTGCAGAACATTTGAAAAATGTAAGAGAGCGACGGGGCCTATAATCCCAGTACCTTGGGAGGCTGAAGCAGGTGGATCACCTGAGGTCAGGAGTTTGAGACCAGTCTGACCAAAATGGTAAAACCCCGTCTCTACTAAAAATACAAAAATTAGCTGGGCATGGTGGCGCATGCCTGTAATCCCAGCTACTTCAGACTGGGTGACAGAGTGAGACTCCGTCTCAAAAAAAAAAAAAAAGAAAAATGCAGAGAGGTAGAAGGGAAAAACAGACCACTCTCCCACAATCTCCTTGCCCGGCGTTCACTACTGTTGCCATGTGAATCTAGTTCTGGCCAGAATTTTTTTTTTTTTTGATTGTCGTAAAATATACATAACATGAACTTTACTATTTTAACCCTTTTTATAATTTTTTAATAGATTCAGTGGGTACGAATGCAGTTTTGTTACATGGATATACTGCATAGTGGTGAGGTCTGGACTTTTAGTGTGCGTATCACCCAAATAGTGAACATTGTACTCAATAGGTTTTTGGGGTTTTTTTTTGTTTTTTGTTTTTTTGTTTTTGAGATGGAGTCTCGTTCTGTCACCCAGGCTGGAGCGAAGTGGCGAGATCTCAACTCTCTGCAACCTCTGCCTCCCAGGTTCAAGCGATTCTCCTGCTTCAGCCTCTCAAGTAGCTGGGACTATAGGCCCTCACCACCACACCCAGCTTAGTTTTGTTTTTTCAGTAGAGACGGGGTTTTACCATGTTGGTTAGGCTGGTCTCAAACTCCTGACTTCAAATAATCTGCCCGCCTCAGCCTCCCAAAGTGCTGGAATTACAGGCATGAGCCTCTGCGCCTGGCCTCAATAGGTAATTTTTTAACCCTCATCTTCCTCCAAACTCCACCCACCTATTGGAGTCTCCAGTGTCTATTTTTGTATGTCCATGTGTATCCATTGTTTAGCTCCCACTTATAAGAGAATATGTGGTATTTGATTTTCTGTTTTTGAGTTATTTCACTGAGGATAATGGCCTCCAGCTCTATCCATGTGGCTGCAAAAGACATGATTTCACTCTTTTTTATGGCTGCATAGTATTCCATGGTGTGCGTGTGTGTGTGTGTGTGTGTGTGTGTGTGTGTGTGTGTCTTATTTTCTGTATCCAGTTATCCACTGATGGGCATTTAAGTTGATTCTATTACTTTGCCATTGTGAATAGCACTGTGATAAACATGAGTGCTGGTGTCTTTTGTTGTTGTAGTTGCTGTTGTTTTTGTTGTTGAGACAGAGTCTCACTCTGTCACCCAGGCTGGAGTGTGATGGCACTATCTCGGCTCACTGCCACCTCCATCTCCCGGGTTTAAGGAATTCTCCTACCTCAGCCTCCCAAGTAGCTGGCATTACAGGCACATACCACCACACCCGGCTAATTTTTTTATATTTTTAGTAGAAACAGGGTTTCGCCATGTTGGCCAGGCTGGTCTCGAACTCCTGACAGAGAGATCCACCTGCCTCGGCCTCTCATAGTGGTGGGATTACAGGCGTGAGTCACCGCACCCGGACTCCATGCTGTTTTTCATAGAGGTTATACTAATTTACGTTCCCATCAACAGTGTATAAGGATTCTCTTTTTCTCCACATCCTTGCCAATATCTGTTGTTTTTTGACTTTTTAGTAATG